GTTTGATTCTCTTCACTGTTTGTTCTGTTCTGTTCTGTTCGAATATTGACTCTTTGTGTGCTTCATTATACTAGAAGTAATGAATAGCATTCTCTTAAACTATACCTATAATAGCTTACTAATGCTCTAACTGGACTGTTACTAAAAAGACTCATTTATCTACAAAGTTTTGCTTATACTTTTAAAAATGGAGTTTTGTATAACTATAAAGTAACATAACCTTTAGAAGAGCTTTGAAATGTTTTAACAACTTATAAATAACAACATTTACACAATTATCATTGTGTTCAACTTGTATTCCCCCCCCCCCTTAAAACAATTAAAATAGTTAAAAGATTCATTACGGGGTATGAACTCACCTGATCTGGGTGATTCAAACGGGTATGCGCGTACGGATGAGAAGTTCAACGAATGAAGTTCCGTGACACAATAAGTCCTATATGATATTTAAGGATACATAATGACATGAATATAGTGTTTATAAACAACTATATGAAAGATAACACCTTCCGGGACTAGGAAACACCTTGACCAAGTGTTGGAATCACATGTGATTCAACATAGGAAGGTATAAGGAACACATATGAGTTTACTACCATGAGTTCACGGCCCAAGAGAGTTTACGGCTGTAAACTCATGGCTACACATGTGGGAATGCAAGTATGAAAGCTAGGGAATGATTTAGGGACATTAACTCTAGCCTAGGATGAGAAAGACCACCTTCTTTGGAGTTTTTGAGGTGTTCACGGCCCAAATGAGTTTACTACCATAAACTCATGGCCAATTATACTTATGAGGGTCCTAAAGGTCATAAGGAAGCATTCTAAATTCATGCCTAAGTCTTAGGAAGTGTTTGTGGCATCAAAACACTCTTATCTTGAGTTTACGGCCCATGGACCATTTGGTCACAAGCTTGCGGCCGTAAACACCTATGGGTGTTGTTATTTTGGTTTTTTTGGGTCCTAGACACATCATGGTAAAGTGATATGCTTGTTTCTTGGCTTGTGGAAGGCATTTAGGGCATTTTGGCACCCTAAAATGGAGTTCACGGCCCAAGAACTTCCTTGGTCGTGAACTCACTTTTGGTCCTTGATTTTTAATGATTTTGATGCCTAAACATGTCAAAGTTTGTCCCATGTTTGGTTTCCAAGGTTTAGGGGGACATTGGGCACACTTTGGCCCTTATAAGAGAGTTTACTCTCCAAGATGTTCTTGGGCGGTAAACTCCCAAATCTTGGGGTTTTGATCCGATTTTGATGTCATAAAACATAATCTAAGCTATATAATACAAATAGATAGAAGTACTCACGATTTGGGATAAAAACCCGAAGATGCGTGAGAGAGAATTTGACTTTTCTCTAGTTGGAATTGTAACTAATGAATGAATATGGTTCAGATTTCTATATATAGTCCTGGGATTTTTGGCAAAAAAATATTTTATTCTCGGAATGAACTCTAATATCATAGAGTTTTGGAATAACAGAGTTGCACAAAACCCAAGTGCATCCTCTCTCCTGATATCTTCTTAAGTGTAAATCCTGAATTGCTCAAACTTATCCCAAAAGTTTGAAAGTTAGCAGAAACACACTTGGCTTCTGTTGAAGGGGATGGTTTCACTGAATGGAAATTTTTGGGTTGTCACAGTTACTAACCAATATTATGAATGTTTTTGGAGGTTCTTGCAAGCGTCTTGACGGTATTCGAGAACAACAAGCTTCCAAAGTTATTGAAGCACTTGGTTTAGGTGAAATCATAAGCGGTCGAGGCCTCAATCAAGAAACATCTCTTATCAAACCGAGAGACACACATTGGGGGTCCCATTATGGTACTTTTATAAGTATGATTACATTGTTTCCATCCGTTTTAGACGTGCTTGAGATTATTGCAGAAGATGGAGCAACCCCAGAACAAAAATGTGAAGCAGATATGTTAATTAACTCCTTGCAGACCTTTGATTTCATATTTTCTTTGCACTTCATGAAAAAATTATTGGGTATTACTAATGAGTTGTCTCAAGCATTGCAAAGGAAAGATCAATATATTGTAAATGCAATGAACTTGGTTAGAATTTGGAAGCTGCAATTGCAAATTTTGAGAGATAGTGGATGGGATTCTATGCTCACTAAGACTACATTGTTTTGTGAAAAACACGAGATTGTTGTTTGCAACATAGATGTAATGTTCTTACTTCCAGGACGGTCACAGCGAAAATATCTAAAGATGACAAAATTACACTACTATCGTGTAGAGTTATTCTATGATGTCATTGATTTGCAACGCACTGAACTAGAGAGTCGTTTTAGTGAGACTGGCACTAAATTGCTTCTTTTCATGGCATGTCTCAATCCAAATAACTCTTTTGCAGCTTTCGATAAAAACAAATTGATTGAGCTAGTTCGTTTATATCCAAAGGATTTTTCAGATATAGACTTGGAGATACTTGATGATCAACTTGAAACTTATATTCTTGATAAGTTGAATTCATCAGAGTTTTTGAATCTAAATGGGATTGGTGATCTTGCACAAAATATGGTTGAAACAAAAAGGTATAAATTATTCTCTATGGTTTACTTGCTCATCAAATTAGCATTGACGTTACCGGTTTCAACAGCAATAGTTAAGAGATCGTTTTCTGCTATGAAGATTGTGAAGAACAGGATACGAAATAAAATGGGAGATTAATGGATGAATGATAATTTGGTAACTTATATCGAAAAATAGATTTTTGCGGATGTTGCTAATCAAGATATCATCAATATATTTGATAAAATGAAAACGCATTGACGACCTTAATGAATTTGTAATTTATATATATGTTTGCAGTTTGTGGATATTTGATAATTTATATATGTTTGAAGTTTTTGGATGTTTGATAATTTATGAGGAGCACCCTCAAAAAAATTTCTGGCTTTGCCCCTGATATTAAGTACCATGTTAAAAAAATAAACCATTGTGCAGCGTGTAGTAAGCTAAAAGATCATCAACATAGTATCAAACTGTAATTTATTCATAAATTCAGCTCTTTAAATGGACGCCCACATAATGCTCGACAAAATGTCTAAATGAGATGTCTCTTTTGAATTGCATAAGAAAGCGCATGATTAGGGAGTAGGTCATAGTGTTCAAGTTGAAGGTTGGTCATAAGTGAAGTCCTGTGGCCAGTGTTTAATAACCCTTTTATTTCCTTTGCTTAATAATGCAAGTATAACATGGAATTGAGTAAAATCCAAGTCACATCATCTGTAGTTAAAACAACTAATAATGCAACCAAGTTACACTATTCTACTAAATCATGCACGAAAGTGGATTTCTTATCGGTTTATACATTCATTTACTAATACATAGTACTTATTTCAAGTGGTTAATATAAAAATAAATTATCAGCAAATGTTTATGACAACTTTAAAGTAAAAAAGAAGTTCATTCCAACCTCAAAAATCCAATACTATGGGCGTGTTCAGCAAAACTAGCTGGTAGTGGGTAGCTGGTATCTTTTTGATTTTGGAGCGTTATGTATAGGCTAAAAGCTAAATGCTCCCGTCGCCCAATGAGGTTTTTTCTTATTTACTAGCGTTTTCTTAAAAGCTAAAAGCCAGAAGCTCTCAAAAGCTGCGTACCGAACACGCCCTATATATTTATAAGTATCGTTATATGCATGAATATAGTGTAGCCACTAAACATATAATTGCAACTCATATCATGCAACACTATAAAGAACATTAAAAATAATTAGATAACCATATCAAGCCAAAAAAACAGTTTCAAACAAAGCACCACCTTCTATGTTGTAACTCAATATTATTAGTATTTGCATTTATAGATAACAAAAGTTTATTCATTATTCCTTAGCCTTGTACTCTGTTCCCCACCTTCTGCTGACTTTTGTATGTGTATAATAATCGTTATTTCTTTTAAGTATTAATTTCCGTCCTTATGAAATTTAGGATATGTGCTACAAGGCTTTTATAAGAAATATGTCTCCTATATAGAACAATTACATACATACAAAAGAGCATAAGAATCATTCAAGATTTAGTCATTGATAATATTCGACGGGCATGCCATGAGATGCAAGAAAATTTGTGATGATATTGCAAATATGATATGGGATGCACAAAATTTTACTTAAATACAAATAATCAGAGATATTTTAGTATTTACATTAATATAATTTTATGCATTACATATTTTTCTAATTAAATTTGAATCATTTTCGTACATGTCCTTATATGCCGTTTTATATTTAATAAGTAGCTTATCAACTAGTTTTAACCAAACGTCATATTTTATCAACTAGTTACTAACTTTGCAGCTATCAACTAATTTTTCAGGTAGTATGTTAAACATAGTCTTCAAGTGTGATAACTAATATAATATAGTTAAATTCTTCAAAAATATATTATGTACTCTAATTATATAGACTCTCGAAAACCATTTTAATATATTAAATGAATATTATGATAGTCTACTGAATAAATGAATACAAATATATTGTGGATGAGATATTTGAAATCACAAGAGAATAATTTTTTAAATACAATCATCACTAAAATCAAATAATATATTTATGTAGTTATTTTTGCTAAATTTTATATAGATAGATTGAAGTCCTTGTGAAATCATGACTAATACATACTAATAATATCCATTGGCAATATTTGTTAAACGATTTCTTGTTTTTAATTTTCAATAAAGCGAAAAATAAGTAATCAACAAATTAAGATAAAACGAAGGAATCTAGTTATTTGAAATCATGACTAATACATACAGAAAGAGAATTTCAATTGGAAAAAAGAAGTATGCTAAATTTAACTTGATATAAGAGAAAAGAATGTTGTAAATAGCATTAGAAGTTATACTTGGATGCAAAGCAATCTAAAAAAGTTAAGTTGATTTTGTGGAAATGGTATTTTGCCTCTACCTTATTTTCTATAAATTTAATTAAGGGCTAAATATATGTCATTTTCCACAAGAGAGAGAGAGAGAAAGAGAGAGAAGATATGGAAGAGATTAACCATTTTAGTCATAAAAGCCATCCATTAAAGCTCCTTGACCCTGAGAAGATTGTAGGTGCTAGTGTCAATGGTGGTGAGGAGAAATCAAGGTTGATTGGTTGTTATGCATGTGAAAAACCCATATCAAATGGTTTTGCATATGCTTGCATCCAATGTCGTTACTTTCTACATAAATCATGTGCACAACTTCCACTCACTATCAACGACCCTTCCTTATATCATCATCAATTAACACTTACTGATTTGAAAGATCTAGATTCCAGATATTGGAAATGTGCGGTGTGTTGTATTCGAAAGAAATCTAGGGTGTTTTCATATACTTTTAAAAACGATGATTTATACATCTTTGGAGTTTGCATTGATTGTTGTGTTGTTAGGATTGCTCGCAAGGCTAAAGCAAATGCTATCAAGGAGGAGGCAAAGATGAAGGTTCAACACGAAGGCCATCCACAACACACTTTAACCCTACAGTTAAGACCTGCTGCATTCCGGTGTGATGCTTGCAATTCTATGGATGAAGGCTTATTCTTCCAATGTGATAGTTGCGACTTTTGGATCCATAAAACTTGTGCTTCCTTAGTACCTATCATCCACCTACCCCATCATCCCGATCACGAACTTGTTCTCGTATATTCGCTTCCAGAAATATTCTTTAAGTTCTTGCATTATTGTGAAATTTGCAATGCATACATCGAGCGGAATTATTGGTTGTATCATTGTGCAAATTGTAGATATTTTGTACATATTAGGTGTGCCTTAAATGCATAGCGACCTTCTAGTACTAAAAGGTAAATTAAATCCCTTGTATGTGTGCTTGTGGATGCGTCTTCTAAATGTTTGTTTTTTGTGGTTTCAGAGATGTCTCAACTAGTACTTCTTTTGTTGATGAAGATGCAGAAGATTTGCTTGAATTTCCCATGTTAGAGGCATTCATGGATCCATTAAAACTGCTACATTTGGATAAGACATGTATACATGATGATAAGACTGAAGAGATTAAACATTGGAGCCATCATCATCCATTAATCCTTAATAATGTTCATCAATTTAACATGTATGGTATGATCTCTAGTAATCCACTAGAGGTATGTCACGGGTGTGTACAACCCCTCTCCCTTCCATACTATACTTGCAAAGATGGATGTTCATTCACTTTCCATAAATATTGCACCGAGTTACCACTCAAATTACAACATCCACTTCACTCGGATCATTCGCTTGACTTGATAAACTTGTCGGGACACAGTATAAGCTATAAATGCATTGGTTGTTTTACCTTGATGCCAACTGCGCATTTTTACCCAAAACCATCAAACACAAATCCCACAAGCATCCTCTTATCCATGTTATAGATCCTGATGCTTTTTGTAGCGCATGTGACAAATTTTATAAAGGCATAAGTTATGCTTGTAAGCCTTGCGACTTCATATTAGACATGTATTGTGCAATGAGGTCGCCGCATTCCCTTGCTCATAGATATTGCAAAGGACATACAATCCCATTGATGTATCCCCCGATCATGGATCATCCAGAAGACTTCTATTGTGATATTTGTGAGAAAGAAATGCACCCTAAGATGCCACTCTATTATTGTCACAAATGCAAAAATTCTTTTCATCTTGATTGCATTAGTCGAATCGATTATCAAGCAAACATGTTGTACAAGGGCACAATAAATGTTTCCTATCATAAACATCCATTAACATATGTTCGGAGAAAGAAAACGCCCAAGTATGTGTGTTCTATTTGTAATCAAGATATTAATGGTTATTTGAGCTTCGAATGTCGGGCAAGAGTCTGTAATTTCAATATTTGTTATCAGTGTCATCGTAGGAAGGAATGAATCCTCAATCATGTAATATAAAATGTAGCATCCAATTCAATTTGTGTGATATAGAAGGAAAACTCCAATAAAAAAAATAGATGGTTAATACTTTTAACTTAGATATATGAGAAAAGAAACAAAGGTTCACTAATTCATTTCAGGACACTAAATTCTTTGCTAATTCCAAGTGTAGCTACATACAGATTCTTCCCCCAATCCTTACAATAATATAATAATATAACTATGATCAAATGAATCAAAAATAGAATGCTAAAATAAATAAATAAACAAAAGCCAATCTTTTTTAACTAAGAATGCCTTATAGTATCTCAATTTAGTCTCGTGACACAAGTTGCATATTAAATTTAGCTCAAATTAAATAATAATCCTATTCCTTTTTATAAGACATACACTTCGTCCCAAATCCTCATCATCATCTCATTTAGGGTTGAAAACAGACATGTTTCCACCTATTGTTAACAAATCAAGGCTGTTATTTGATCAAGACGTGTTTCATTAAAGCATCAAACAGAAATATATCATCTTGAGATACAATAATGGTTTGGAAAACATAAAAAAAGGCACAAAAACATTTCATACGATGCTTTTTAAGAGCCAAGAACATCCATTGATCATTTGAAACTATTTCAAAAATCACATCAACATGCACCGCTCGCCAAAAAGAAACTCACTGCAGGGGTATTTTCGTCCATTGTCTTTAATTTGAATAAGTAAAAGGCCATGTTGGCCATAAAGTCCTTTTATTTAGTAGTGCAGCTAATGGGTAGTTCAGTTGCTAGTTTCTAAGGATTTACTTTGTTAAGTAGGATGTTTTCTTCTTTCGTTGATGTATGCACTGGAATAAAATCAGAAAATTTGGCCCCAAAAAAGCTTCCCCTGTTCTTTCCTCTTTGTGCTCTGTTTTCTGTCTTGCACCAGGCTGTTAGGGTTGATTCCAACAAGATGTCCAGGAATGATTCCTAGATTCCCCCTAAACACAAAAACTAATGTTAGCACCAATTGCGTTGTAAAATGGCCTTTTTTCTTAAATAACAAAAAACCCAAATAAAATATTTTTAAGGAATACATGCATTCCCTATTTTTCTTATTCCTTTTAACGACAACTAATATGGAAGAAAAGAAAAAGGAAACACAAAGCATGTATACTTCTTATTTGACCTGCTGTTTAAGGTTCATTATTGGATAGTTGGTGTAGGTCTGATCTGGAAAAAAAATCATCAATATAACCAAAAATGAAACTCGTCAAAAGGAAAACCTCAGATAGATCACTCACTTATGGTTGGATCTGCAAAAAAAATTGTCAACAAAAACAAAAATAATGAAAGAAACCCAATGATAATGTATACGCAAAACAAGACATTTCTAGCATAAATAATGAAAGAAAAATCAAGAACATTACATTTTAACGACTTGAAGATGGACCTTCCTACAACAGTACACAACTCAAAACTAAGCTTCAAAACATGATGAACTATCGACATTTAAAAGTTCTTGATATTTGATGTAAAATGGAAAGATACCTGCAAGGATATTCAACAACATTGAAACTCCACTACTAAAAGATGAAGAAAACCCATCGTTTTAGGTCGCTCTACGATGACAGATGGTGGGAGTGGTCGGCGGCGGCGGAGGTACAGGGCAGGTGGTTCAAAGGTGAAGATTTGAATAGATAAAGAGATCAAAACGAAATCTAGTTGTAGTTTCTTCAACATAAGAGATGAAAAAGAAATTTAGTTGTAATTTGTTCGATATAAGAGATCAAAAAGAAGTTGTTTTACCTGAGATTTGTATAGAGAATGGCGGTGGTATGGTGGTTCTGCAAACCTGAGCCAAATAAAACATGGTCCACATAAGTGTTGAGGGTGGCTCTTTTTCTGACCTGTATTAGATTTAACACATTAATTTTACAAAAAAAAAAAAATGGAAGTTAATTTAAAAATCTGAAAAGGGATTAAATACATAATCCACAAATTAATAAATTACCTTCCGGGGTATCCACCAGTTTTCTTAATTGATTCCTCAAGTTCAACGGGTGGAAACATCTGAACAAATTGTAACATTATAGAAACAATTGGAATTTGGTGAAAAATACGTAGAGTTTATCATACAAAATATATCAAAGATTAGTAAATTAGTATTACTTCAAAAGTAAATGCAACATAACATGTCATTACCCCAAAACTGTAGCAAATCTCCTGTCAAATCCAACAATTTCCGCATGTTAGATTCAAATTCGATGGTAGTAATACAAGTCAAATTTGGATTTCTGCAAGATGAGACCCCCAAAAGATGTTGGAGGCGAAGCTTCCTTCATTTGAAAGCTTTTTGCACTGGTCACATACTCGAGCTTGGACACGAACTAGTGCTTGCATACACTTGAGTGTCATCTTGTACAGATCCTATCAACCACCACTACAAAATCAAACGAACTGTTTATATATATATATATATATATATATATATATATATATATATATATAGAGAGAGAGAGAGAGAGAGAGAGAAAGAGAGAGTTACATTGACGAAATTCTGAAGCTTCTTCAATATATAATCCTGGTAATCGTCCATGGATAAATTGTCTCTTCTAGAAGGCAGATCGTAGTAGCTAATCGTGAAATCATTTGTTCCACCACTAATTGACACCAACGCCCCCTCAATTATCCTATTGGCTTATTTGATCCCCACAACTTTCTTCAATCTCTTTATATACTCCTTAAAGTAATACAACTGCTTCATCACAGGAATCACCTGTGAAATCTGAGCCGTCATGTCATCGTGCCCCGATCCGGCGGAAGCGAAGTTCACTCCAGTGCGGATATCAAAATCGGAGATATTAGGCTGCAGGAACAGAGGAACGGTTTGTTTTATTCCCAGCAGAGACGCCCAAATGTCCGACATCAGTTTTCCGTTTGAAAACCGGCCGGTGGGGATTTTTCCAGGAAAGTCTTCCCCGTATGGGGGATGGTCGGCTTTGAATGGGGTATTTATGTAATTGTTTTTGCCGGAATCTGCAGTGGAGTCGCCAAAAATGAAGACGGCAGAGAATAGATGGGTTATGTTCTGACTGGAAAGGGCGGTGGAGACTTTGAGAAGTAAGGCGAAGATGAACACAGCGAAAGCCATAGAATTAGTGATGGAGGGGACACTCGCTTGCAGTTAATAGTGTCCGATGGTGGCAGCGAGATAGAGTTACAGTTTCTAGGTAGAAGCAGGGCTGCAGACGACGACTGAAGGTAACGACAACATCGGCAGGGTGACGATAGCGACGAATATAGGAGGGTGGTAGTAATGGAAGCCTATCGGAGATTGAAGAAAGTGAGGAGGTAGACAGAATAGATTTGGAAGAAGCCTTTGGAAGAAACGATGGCTGATAGTGTCTAGAGGGTATTAGGTTTTCCACGAGAAGCTACGACCATACGTTACAATGATACGATGCTTGTATACTTATACATTGTAAGCTTAATAGATTGTACATGGTGTTATTAAATGTATACCTCTTAATTTTCAAGACATGGTCAATATCTTACATACTTATAAAGCATGCATTTTCTCTTGATTGTCATGCATTTGAAACTCCCCACAATAATTTGCTAAAACGTCATGCATTTGAAACCACCAAACCTTTTCACCTTCTTAATAATTAATCACACATAATCAATGATAATTCATATGAGATAATAATTTGCTAAAACCTCAGCATTTGTATGGTATTAGAACATGTTTGAGTTTTTGAGTTTTAGACTTTAGTAAATGGGTAATCCGTTTGATACGTTGGATTTGAAGCTATCTTATTCGAATTACCCAAAACAAGAGATAAATTAATAATATATGTTCATGCATGTTTTGTACAAGCCCCAATCAAAATACAATATATCATGATCATACAATTAAGTGTCTTTTATTCCATTTTTGGCTTTATAACAAAAGTTTGTTTACGTGGCGAAGAAAGAAAACTTGAAGATGAATATTTAGGTTGGATGTTTATATACGATTAGTTTTAAATATATAATATAGATATAAATACACAAATGTGTGTCAAACACAACTCATCACAAATTTAATGTTATAAACTACAATAAGGCTATGTTTGGCGGAGTAGCTGAAAAGCTAGCTGCTAGCTGATGGCTGAAAAGCTAGCTGTTAAATAAAAAGCTAGCTGATAAAAAATAACGTTTGGTAAAACTAGCTAAAAAGCTAGCTGAAATATATAAAATTACATAAAAGGACATGTAAGAATATGTGTTTCTATAATTAATTAGGGGTGTATTTGGAAAATTTAAAAAAAGCTCCTAAACAGCTAGTCTAAGTAGCTTTTCCAAAAGCTAGCTTATCAGCTACTTTTTGGCTTACCAAACACGACAATATAAAAAAACTCGAAAAATAAGCTAGCTTATCAGCTAGCTGTGGCGCGCCAAACATAGCCTAAAACTCAAAGTAGTTTTCCAAATACAATGTTTACACTATAATATAATATATTAGAAGAATACCATATAGTAGACGAATCTCACATGTTGTGCAGAAATTTAATTGCATAGATAATATATTATAATTATATTTCATTTAAAATATGTTATGGTCATTTGGTTATTACATTGTTGTATTATGCACTATATTCTTATATATTTTGAATGACTCTTACAAAAATGATGTCTGTAATTTGAATATAACGTAATATCTTATGATGTTTATTGAATGATAATATCTTATGATGTTTATTGAATGATATTATCTTCGATTGAGCACTTTTTAATTGAAATCAACTTTATTATAGTTAAAAAATTTGGCTCCGTTTTTTCTTTTCATTTGTTCTAGAATATGATTTTTTTTTATTAACTTAAAATATGTCACTATCTTAAATAGATTGAGAATGAGATTTTTTATATTTACTTAAAATACGGCACCATTTTCTATTCAATAGTAAAACTAACAAAAGTCGTTAAATATGTATTTTTATGAGGTTCAACATAAATAGACGACCACAAATGAGAATGCATATCTAATCAATCATCAACTAATTAAATTAGATACTAATGTGTACATAAAAATTACATTTAAAATTTTATACTAATAGTAAAAAAATTTCATTATTTATTATGATAAAAAAAATCTGTAAATCAAAAAATATACATGCTATTTAATCGCATACAAGTTTTATGTATGGTTTATTCACAATACATTAAACCATATATAACCATATTAAAGTACATAATTATCCCACTGCGCAACGCGCAAGCATTCGCCTAGTGTTTAATAATATAGTTAAGATATATATATCCGTAAATGCGATTACCAAATATGTTGCATATTGGATCTGAGCAGAGATTATTTGAAAATAAGTTGGTTCTGAAACCTGGATGAGGCTGGCAAGAGAAGCATCATAATCGTCAATGTAAATAACACAATATTAAGTTCATGGTATTCTTTGAATAGCTTTAATTGTACACCATAAACTCTCTCTCTCCGGCTCCACCGTCGTTGGTGTAAAGGTGAAAGAACCCACGAAACCATCCTCTATTGTAGCACATTTGGCGAGTACTAATTTAATTGTGTGTCGATGAGGGTAGCAACTTAATGAACCAACTTGCCATATCATAAGAAGAAAACATAATTTGGCTGGTATTAATTTGAGAGAAGAAGCAGGAGATAGACAATCCATGTTGAATAACTTACCTGAAGTGGATTTGGAGACTCTTTCCATTCCAAGTTTTAAGATTACATCTGACAATTGCTACTGATTAATTGACTTGAGCCCTAGGTTTTTGTTCCACCTCAAGGTGAAGACTTTTGATACGAAATCAGAACCTACCTTTGTATCGTGGTTGGTTGAATCTTGGAAGAACCTGAAAACCGATTGAACGTGACAGGAGAAAACGATCGACTGTGAGAACGTGGGGAGAAGGAGGAGGTTCGTCAAAACCGATTGTTGGAACCGTAAACAACCGCCATATGTGAGTTTATGCGGTTCCGATCGAAAGTTAAGCAGTTTAAGGGCTACCATTTGGACGACGGTTTCTCATCGTGGTCACGTATAGTATTAATAATTTAACAAAAATGATCTTTGAATTAACAACTACTCCACCACCAACCGGCTACTTTTAGATGCAGAACACAAGTCCCAAAATATTTCTCTACATACATCTCAAACTTAAGATACAGACTCACGAATCCAGCTAGTTCTAATTACCTGAAATAAAATTTACACTCTTCGATCTCAACAAAACTAAGCTCTGGTGCTATTTGTAACTTCAGCACTTTCGATCGATTCCAAATCAAACGCAATCCCCTCCACTGTGCATGTTTTTGTCATATAAAGAAAATAACTCGTTACGTAATTTAACAATTATCTGCATTTCTTGCAATGTGAGTCCCTCCACTTGCACATTTATATTACCAACCCTTCAAAATTCTAAACCATAATTTATATCAATCTATTTAGCAAAAAAAATCAACCAAAGAAATATATGAAGCCTACAAATTAAGTCCAACGATGAAGTCGGATCAAATTTCTTATAGTCCTATTAATTATATCAAAATTCATGAGTGTTACATTTACGGAGATCAGATCTAATTTTGAGCTTGCTCAATTTTAATATTTGAAAGTCATATTGAACTAAAGTGAAAGTTATCCCTGCAAAAGAGAAATGTTTTTCAACCATTAAAACCAAAGTTGTCAATATTTATAGAGACAGAAATCGAACAAAAACTAACTTAATCAAAATAACCGAACAATTACTAAAGGTGGTGCACTTTCTATTTTTGATTACATACATATGGTTCGATTATGGTTTTCATCCAAAATTGAACCAATAATATTAATGAATGTTTTTAATATAAATATAAGGTATATATTTATATTTAAAATTGAAAATTTAAAGGGTAATTATTTGGAATTAAATGAGCAATCTAATCTTCTATAATATTAATAAGGTTATAAACACTGAATCGTTCACTTTTTTTTTATAACAATATACTTTATTTTTTCGGTTTGTATAGCAAAACATGTTTTAGTTTTATCTCATTTTTTACCATTATGATTAATTTAGCAGACAAAAACCGTTAATCAAAAACAATATTAACCGATAGTTAATGACTACCAAAATGAATTAACAACTTATAATGCTTATGGTTCGGTTTCAGCTAAAAACCGAACCAAACCGCCACGTAGATACCCCTAATAATTTATGAAAAAGGTATCATATTTACACCAACTTATAACATATGTTAATTGTTTAAAATGCACTTAAACATTTCATCAAGGCATAAATTCAGACATCAGAAAGCATTTACATTGGTGAGAGGTGATATATAGTATCGTTCTTAAGCCGTGCTCCATTGCTTGTAGTAATATAATAAACCATAAACCAACTTTATAATATTGTCGATCTGCCATATTGTACATTCAAGTTCAACCGTACTTAGAATAACTTTGTGTGGTAATTTCCAATCTTCAGTCGATGATATTTGCACAATTACACAACCCTCTCTTCTCATTATATTTTTTAATTACTATCCATTTTCTCTCAAAAATGTTTTTGTTCAAATCGAAGATGTTAGATTTATCAAGAAAGGATTTCAAACTTTATTTAATAATATAATCTTTCCCTTCCTCAATTTAAATCATTAAAACTAAAGTTGTTAAATATAATTTTTGATAAAATTAGAAAATATCATATTTACTACAACATTATATCATTTGTTAGTTGCAGGGATGTGTTTAGAACCAATCCGAACCCGAATAACCCAAAACCCGAATTGGATGAAAAGAGGTAACCGAAACCCAGACCAATTATACTAATACGAGATCGGTTCGGTTCGGGTAATATGGCTTTCGGTTCGACTATTAACCCGAAAGGACCGAAATAACCCAAATAAACATCTACATTATGTTTTTGAACCGAATAACCCAAATAAACCGAAATGAACCGAATAAGCAAATAAACAAAAATCATCCGAATAACTCAAATAAAGAAATTGTATATCTAGTTCAAAAAAATATTAATTTAATATTTTTTTTCTTGAACTAGATATAGAATTTCCTTATTTGGGTTATTCGGGTCATTTCGGTTTATTTGAGTTCTTCGGGTCATTTCGGTTTATTTTGGTTATTCAGTTCCAGTGACTAT